CAGCGAGCCCAGAAGTGTGGCAGCTTTCGGTTCTGAACGAGAACGAAAGCCGAGCGAGAGGAATCGGTTCCTTTTCCCATCCCGAGGCTGAAGCAGAGAAAGGAAACTTAAAACTAGCAAAAAATAGAGCTTTTTGAGGCTCCCAGCTGCAGGGGGGTCAGTGCCATCCCGGTCAGGAGGGCGAGCAGGGCTTCCAGAAAGGGGCTGGTCTGAACTGGGACAGAAATACTGCTCCTTCCAGCCAGGGCAACGTGGCTCAAAGCGTGTGGTCTGCAAGGTGCGACGTCCATTTGCATTACCACAAAGCTCCCCGTCCCGTAACACGACTGCAAACGCAGGTGTGAGGAATTTGCCCTGGTTTGGGACATGATTGCCACGTGCAAGGCGGCGGTGGGAAGCGTGAAAGCTCAGCACACCGAGAAATGGAAACCATCCCCTCGGTGTCGGTGGGAGGCTGAGTGTGTCCAGATGTCCTACAGCCACTTCTGGCACCTGCAGGTCCCTGCACAGCCTCCTCCGGGTGCCTGCTGGCCCCTCCAGCTGGGCAGGGTGGGTTCCCTTTGCTGTCCCTCCCCAGCCCGAGGGATAAATCCTTGCTGGAGATCTCCCTCCTGCTTTTTAACAGCAATTCACAGCTCATAGTCTCATGCTTGGGTTGCTGAATGTATCAAAGGCTGTTTGGAAACACCCTGCTAGAAAAACAGGAGAGTGACCCGAGGGCCTGAGAAGGGATGGCGGGGTGGCGGCTCACTGGCTCTGCTCCCCTCCCCAAAAGACGTGGGGATGGGACAAGAGGGATGCCAAGGACTGAAATCCAAGGGATGGGACAAAAGGGACTGAAATCCAAGCCTGTGGCTGAGCTTTGATTGTAGTCGGGTCTCAGCTGGCCAACATGTGCCAAATCCAGCCAGACCCATATGCTCGGGGGGGCATTGACATACACCCAAGCACGTGTGTGCCCTCCTGCCCCCGTGCACACCCACAAGGATGCTACAGCAAGAACTGAGCTACGGGCAGCAGCCTGGTGCAGATCACGGCTCCGTGGCACATCCGTGCCGAGCAGTGGGGAGCACGGGGGCAGTTTCCCTTGGGGTCGGTACCGACGGGTTATGCTTGCACTGGGGGGCCCTGCCTTGCTTTCTCACCAGCCCTGCCGGCACGTTTTGGGGGAGAACGTGAAGAATTGCAGTGTGGGTTTGACCTGAAATGACATTTTGCTGCTTCTGTTTTTCTCACAGCTTTCGCAGCAGGGTGAGATCTCCGCTCTTGCAACCCGCTCTCCCTTCAAACGCTGACACGCACCCATGTGTCATTTCAGGTTAACTGAAATGGCTGCTTCAGTGTGAAACAAGAGCTGGTGTTTCATTTTTCGGGTCGCTTAACCCCCTCCTAACTGTAACAAACATGGTGATTAAAAACACGAACATTACACGGGAGGAAGGGGACAAAAAGCTTGGAGAAGGATGAAAAACACTGATGACCTCTTTTAAAAACATCCCTCTTTAGCTGAAGTTGCTAAATTTGACTCAACTTTACACACTGGAAAGCTTTTGCGGTATGTTTTCTTTTTATGGTGAATAAAGTGTTTCTTCCTCATAAAAACCCCCACCAACTCTCGGGCCGAGTGATGCAGTTTCGGTGTGTCACGGAGGCAGCGTTAGCTCAGACCCTGCTCTAGGGAAGGTTGTTGTAAACCCCAAGTGGCATCACCGAGCCGAAACACGAGGCTCCGGTACCGAGCAGGGCTCCAGGTGCCTGAAACCAGCACCTGGCCCCTCTCGCCTTTACACCACGGGGTTTTTGGAGGTCTGGGAAGGGGCGTTTCACCCCAAATTCATGTGGTTTTCCACGGCTGAGATGGGACAGCTCCCAGAGGACGAATCCCCTTGCCTGGGGGATGTGGGGACACCACGGGGCTGAGGCTGGGAGCTGCTTGGTGGCCAGTCCCACCCGAGGAAGGCTGCGGGCAGCACTGGGACCACCTCTCCTCGTGGTCACAGCTTGCTCCTTTCCAAGCCGTGAGCAATCCCGGGAACCTCTCGCCGCACGCTCACACTTTCTCCAGGCTGTCATTTCACTTTTGGGAGCGATGGGGCAGGGAAAAGCAGGCAGGCTGAGCCCTGCTCTTAAACTCCACCGCAAAAGGTCTCCGGCGAGTCGGGGCGCCGTGCCTCAGTTTCCCCACATGCCCCGTGGAGATAATCCTCTTGCCACACAGGACGTCGGCGAAGCTCTCCGAGACCGGCTCCTACGAGGCTTCATTACCAGGGAGCTGGAGCCGTGGGACACGCGGCTCGCTGATAATTCATCTCATCCTAAGGCAGGTGTTTAAAATAGCTCCTGTGACTCACAGCAGTGAGAAGGGCCAAAGGGTTTCCGCCGCCGCCTCGGGGGCAGCGAGATGTTTTCCTCGCAGTGGGACGCGGGGCGAGCTGCCACCTCCAAGCCTCTGCTCCCCGGCTCCTGCTCGCCGGGAGCCTTTTCTCCGCAGGGCTCGTGCGTGCCTTCCCGGCCGTGTCAGGTGTCTGGCTGCTGCTCCTCTCCCGTTCCCAGAAAGGGATGTGGAAAATGGAAATGTTGCTCTTGCTGTGGCTTCCTCGGTCAGTCCTTTACCCATCCATCCCCAGCCAAGGTGCTTGGCCGTGAGGATGGGAAGCCAAAGATGTGCCGAGCGCTTTGCACACCCTCAGCTCTCTGTGTGACCCCAATGCTCCCAGAAGGGGAGATCGAATGGCCTGAAATCTCATCCTGGTCCTGTTCTGTCCTTTTTTTTATTTATTTATTTATTTTTTTTTAAATTCTTTTTTGTTGTGGGTACTTCCCACGCTGAAAAAGGGCAGTGAGGAGCAGTCGTGGAAGGGAGGCGGGAGAGCGAGGCTGGCTCTGGATTGCTTCCTGATGGATGGCTCCTGTGGCTTCCATCGTAGCTGGTGTCCCCAAGGGGCAGCAAACAGCCCTAAAACATGGAGAAATAGGGGCAAAAGGGCCATTTCCTTCACTCCAGCCCCCCTTTCCCACTCATGGGCTGGGGACAGGTGGCTCACGGGCTGTCTCTTAGGGGTCTCTCGCTCCATGCAAGACACAGTGAAGGAAGAGTGTGAGGCTGAGCAAGCTGAGAGAAAAGGAGGAAGAAAAGCAGGTGAGGAGGAAGCCCACAGCCTGCGATGTATTCCTTACAGTCCAGTCCCCAGCACCCCTCACCATGATGCAAAGCAGCAGGAAGAGCTGGAGAAGGAAAAAAACCTTCATCTTCATCCCAACCCTGCCATTCTGGGAGGAAGAAGGGAAACCCACGCACGTGGATCAATGGGCAGTGATGGTGCTGGGGCTGATTTTGTGCCTCCCACCCCATCCACACCTTCCAGAGGTCCAGGATGTGGACACAGAGCTCTCAGCCACACACACACGAAGGCATTAACCCTCAGCAAGGCACAAGGATCGCACACCTCCAGCACCCAAACCTCGCACCCAGCCCGTGCCACCGGCATGGCGAGGTGGCACCCAGGCAGCGTTGGGTGCCCAGGGGGGGGGACACATCCCCAGGATGGCAGCGCTCCCCTGCCGTGGTGTGAGCAAAATCATCAGCAGCAGGCGGAAACGCGGCGACTATCAGCGTGCCGGCCCCGCTCGGCCTTTCTGCGGCGAGTTTTCTAAGAAACGCCGCAGCAGTTAGCGAGCGTTTACGGGAAGGGTGGGCCGTGCGCAGCCCGGGCGGCCGCGATAGCGTTTCGGGGGGCTCAGGCCCCCTCGCTGCGAGGCAGGAGGTTTGCTTTCGTGTAAAGAGCAAGCTTCCCGGATGGTCCGGAGGAAAAAAAGCAAGAGAGGAGGTTAAATGCAAACCGCATCTCAAAATAGGTCTGAACTTTGAAGCCGTTCGGAGCTGCGCTTCCTGCTCCGAGCAGCCTCGAGGAGGAGATGAAAGATGCAGCTGAGAAAAAAAAAAAAAGGCAAAACAAACAAACCGAGTTAACGCTTGCTGCTGAGGGCAGAGGTGCAGCAGTGACACAGCGCACGAAGTCACCGCAAAGCTGGGGACGGGGCTGGGGGGGCCCCCCAGCCCCCTTGCAGCAGCCCCACGGCTTGGAGAAGGGCTCACCTGGGGTGACCTGGGGAAGGGGCACTGGGAGGGGGGTTTTAAGCGAGAAATATGTGGGATGAGCCAAGGAAAGGATGGCCTTTTGTGTCAGGTCCAGTCAGGGGTCTGGGGAAGTAGTTTGGAGGATGGTCAGTGCCCCTTTCCGTGGGGGAAGGAGCTCTCCAACCCATCACGGCACCACCCATGAGATGAGAATTTTGAAGCCCTGTTCCCATGACGTCAACACAAAGAAAAGTCCCAAGCAAAAATTATAATACAAAAAAAAGAAAAAAAAAAAGCCCCAAAGCTGAAAACGCTGAGGAGCTGGGAAGTGAGCTCAGGCAGTTTGGAGGGCAAAAACTTGAGCGAGGCGTTACCGCTGCTGCCTGATAGCGACCGACTTCTCGTAATCCGGAGATCGACTTCCTCTCGCTCGGCGGCGGCCGCAGCCGCGCTGGAGGTGGGGGCAGCACGCCGGTGGCTTGCTTCACCCCCCGGCACCCCGGCATGCAACGCACACCCCGCGCCGCCAGAGCCGGAGCAACAGGATCCGCGTTACCCAAATTTAATTTGGCTGACAACATCCGGCGTTTCGCAAGGGCGCTTTGATGTTTGTTTACTCGCCGGGCCGAGCACATGCTCCGCGCGGCCGCCCGCGGATGAATGGAGACGAAAAGGCTCCACACCCCTTTGATCTCTTCTCCCAGGAGCGGTCGGAGCTGGAGACGCCCGAGGAGGGCCCAGTCCAGCCTTCCCCGTGCTGCTTTGGGACCGGCGAGTCCCGGTTAAGGAGAATTTCTTTGGGTCGGGTGCTGCCGTTCGCTCGCTGCCTCCTCTCCGTGAGATGCTGGGGATGATGCGGTGCGGTCACCGGTGGTACCCCCTTCTTCTTCCCTCCCCGCAAGAAAGGGGTGCCTCCGGGGCATTTAAGTGATTGAAGTTTTTATTTAAAACCGCATGTATAAAAAAAATAGGATTTCTGAATTCCCCTGTACAATATTAGCTATTAACAAAAACCCGCCGGCTACACACTGGTTACACGGACAGACTCGACAGCGCGGACGACCCCGCTTCGGCACGCACCGGGGTCCCCCCCAGGTACCCGTGGGGAAGGCCGAAAATCCTCTGCAAACCCCAACGGGCACGTGGCAGGGCACAGATGGGAGCAGGGCCGCACGCAGGCGGCTGCTCCACGCCACGGCCAGACATCCGACGGAAGCACGAGGTGAAACAGGCACCGGGACGGACGCAAGGGGGGAGACCCCAATGGGAACCCAGGGATCAGCAGCTGTAGAAGCAAGGCATGGGTTGGGGACCCACGGGAGTTATAAATAAATAAATAAGTTATCCTAGTGGCTAGGACTCTTCCTTTTTTAAAAAAAAAAAAACAAAAACACAAACAAAACAAATCCAGGAAAATAAATAAAAAACAAAAACTGGAAGGAAAAAAAAAAAAAACCAAAACCAAAAAAGGTAAAATGTTACCACTATTAACAACTGTACATCAAGCTTTGCTCCTGTATAACTCTGTACACACATTTACAGCTCTGTTGGGTTGCATTGTTTGTGCATTCGTGAGGGCACGGGAAGCAAAGAGCCCAAGGAAGAAAAGTCCCCAGGAGACGGCGGCGCGCTTCGGAGGTGCGGGAGGCGAGACAGCTCCCCAGCTCCATCCGCCCGGTTTCCTTTTGCACGGGGAGAAGAAGTAGCTCTACACCCAGGCGAGTCTCGGAAAAGCAGCAGTGTAGGAAAATTCAAGTATTTCCTCCAGCACAGCCAGGATTGCAACTGAAGGCACTCGAAGACGGTGACGGCGAAGAAGAGAGCCGGTCGGCCGCGGCGCTGCCCTGCCCTCCCCCCAGGTCCCCCGGTTGGAGCTGCTCTCGCAGTCAGGGCTCCGATCCTCTCGCAGTCCCAAATTCAGCAGGCCAGGAAGACTCGTGGGAGCCCCCAAAGACAAAAAAAAAAAAAAAAATCCAAAAAATAAAAATAAAATTTACTGGCAAAACATCAAGTGAGACAGGACCATTCGGTTCAAGTCCGGGACAGCTGGGTTGGGTCGCGGCCACCGAGGGACCGAGTCTCCGGGCTCTGGAGCGAGCTGTGCGTGGCTCCCGCGACGGTCCCCACCCGGGGTTACGGTCACGAGGAGGAAAATCCGCTGTCCTTCGCTTCTCAGGGCCAGGAGAGGCAGGGAGCTGTTATTTGCCCGTCTCCTGGAGCAAACTGTGCAGGTGGATCTCCGTGGCCTTCTGCGGGAGGTGGACGCTTTGCATCCAGGAGTGGTTGAAGATGTCTTCGAAGGACGGCCTGTCCGAGGGGCGCAGGGACAAGCACCACCTGATGAGGTGCTGGCACTCTGCGGGAGAGAAAACCACCACGGGGGGATGTCAGCTCCTGTCCTCCTCCTCCGAGCTATGCCCAAAACCCAGCACCAATTTTGGGGGCATCACCAAGGACGCGCGCCGCGTGCCACCAAATCCCACCGCCCCCCAGGGTGGTGCCACCTCCCCACCGCGTGCCCAGGAGCCGGTGCCCACCTGGAGAGACCCTCTGCCTGAAGTACACCTGGCCCTGTAGGATCTCCTCGTCCTGCTCGAAGGGGATGTCCCCGCACACCATGTCGTAGAGCAGCACCCCCAGGGACCACACGGCCGCCGAGCGCCCGTGGTAGCGGTGGTAGCGGATCCACTCCGGCGGGCTGTACACCCGGGTACCTGCGTGGGGACGGTGCCACTCGTCACGAGGGTGCTCAAATCCCTTTTTGGGGACCGCGCCGCCCCAAATCCTTTTTTTGGGGACCGCGGTTCCTCGCCCGAGCATCTTTAGGGTGGGTGGCAGCAAGGTGGAGATGGGGGGGTCACCATGCAACCCGCCACCCCCCGCGCCGCCAGCACGTGACTCTTGTTTACAAACTTTGGGTTGTAAAAAAAAGGCACCGGTGCCGAAAGGGGGCAGCACGGGGCCGGGGAAGGCTGGGAGCCGACCGTTACACGCAAAAATAAAAAATAAAAACCCAAGGGAGAAGGAGGGAGGAGGGGGGGGGGGGGAACCACGCCTTTCCCCCCCCACACACTCCTTGCCAAAAAAAAAAAAAAAAAAAAAGCAAAGCAAACAAGGGGAGCGGAGCAACGCAAGCCCTTCTGCGGCTGCAAACCAGGTTTTGCAACCCCCCCCCCCCCCCGGCAGCTGTTTGTTTTTGTAGGGCTGCCCCCCCCCCCCTCCCCACAACCCCAACCAACCTCCCGCCCCAGCCCGGAGCAGGTTGGTTGGGCGTCTGGGCTGACGCCGGGAGCCGGCTCCCATTTCACAACATCCACCCCGTGCCAAAAAAAAAAAAAAAAAAAAAAAAAAAAAAAAAATATAGAAGCAGCAACTTGGCCGGGCGGCTGGGATAATTGCTGCCCCCCCCCCCCGCCACCCCCCCTTTCCTTCTCTCCCTGAGCTGCTGCAATAGGGGCAAAGCCGGGTCGGGATGCTGAGCGCTGAGCATCCCCGGGGCGCGGTCTCACCGTCGAAATCGGTGTAGACGGTGTCCTTGAGGAGGGCGCCGGAGCCGAAGTCGATGAGCTTGAGCTCGCCGGTGGAGAGGTCGATGAGGATGTTCTCGTCCTTGATGTCGCGGTGCAGGACGCCGCAGCTGTGGCAGTGCCGCACGGCCTCCAGCACCTGGTGGAAAAGCCCCCGCGCCAGCTCTTCGGGCAGGGCTCCTCGCTCCGTGATAAATCGAAAAGGTCCTGCACCGGGTCCGGCCGCTCCAGCACCAGCACGAAGCTATCGGGACGCTCGAACCAGTCGAGGAGGCGGATGACCCCGCGGAAGCCCGAGCCCACCTTCTTCAGCAGCAGGATCTCCATCGGCACGCGGGTGCCGCCGGGCTGCGGGGACGCACGGCGCGCTCAGACCTGGTGTCCCCCCCCCCCCAAACCCACAAATCCCCCCCAAGCCAGGGATGCTCCGGTTCCCTCCCCGGCACCCCCAGACCTGGAATTCTCCGGTGCCCACGCAAGTGCCCCAAGGCAGGATGCTCCAGTGCCCCCCCCAACCCCAAAAATGCCAAGGCAGGGATGCTCCGCTGGCCCCCAAGCCCCAAAACGCCCCAAGCCAGGGATGCTCCAGTGCCCCCCAACCCCAAAAATGCCCCAAACCAGGGATGTTCCCTTTTCCCCTACACACTCCCCCAAACCAGGGCTGTCCCGATTCCCCCCTCCGGTCTCCCCCCCCACCAGGGATGCCCCGGTTCCCTCCCCCCCCCCCCCAAAACAAGGGATGCTCCACTACCCCCCCCCCCACCCCCCAAAAGCTCCCCTATTACAGGGATGCTCCAGCTCCCTCCCGCCTCCCCCCTACCCAAGGATGCTCCGGTTCCCTCCCCGGCCCCCCCACCCCCCCGGGGACCCTCCGGTGCCCCCCCCCGGTGCCCCCCCTCACTCACCAGCTCGCCCCACTCGGAGATGCGGTCCCGGGCCACGTGTTTGATGGCCACCTGCGGGGTAAGGACCGGCGGCTGAGCACTGCGCTCACCCCCCAGCCACCACCACCGACCCCCCCCCGGTACCACCGCTCCCCCCCCCCCGCCGCTTACCGGGGCGCTGTCGGAGAGGCGGATACCGGAGTACACCGAGCCGAAACCGCCGCTGCCCAGCAGCGGGCCCACCTGGTAGAGCTTCTCCAGCGGCTCCTTCTCCTTCCCTGCGGGGCGAGGCACCGGGCATCATCACCGTGCCGCTCCCCCCGAAACCGGAGCCCCCCCAAAACCGAGCCCCCCCCCACTCCATACCCCACCACCGACCCTAACCGGGGGCTCACCTGGCGGCACCTTCGTGGCGTGCAACTCCCCGCCGGGCCCGGAGCGGAGATGGGCCAAGGAATTAATTTTAGAAAGCAGCATCCCGCTGCCGTCCCCCCCCTCCAGGGCCCGAAACTGACCGGGAGCCAGCGGGGCGGCTCCGGTAACCGGGCTGCGGCTGCTCCCGGTAACCGGGGGAAGCTCCGGGCGGGTGGTGGTGGAAGGGTAAAGGGGGGTTTTAGGGGGGGTTTTGGGGGTGGCCGGCGGGTGGCGGCTGCTCGGCGCGGTGCCGGGCTCCGGTGTGGCGGCGGCGGCCCCGCGCCGGCCGCGGGAGTAGCGGGAGGCGGGGGCGGTCCCGGGAGAGCCGCGGGAGGGGGCGGGGCCTGAGCCGGGGCGCGCCATCAGCTCGAGGCCACGCCCAGCCCGCGGCCCCCGCAGCCAATGGGGCGCGGCCCCGGGCCGGAGGGGAGAGAGCGGCGGGCAACGACGTGGCGGGAAGGAAAAGGCGCCAAAGGAGGAGGGAGGGGAGGGGGGAGGGGGATGTGAGGAGGGGGCCCTGCGGGTTAGGGCCGGGCGGCCCCGTGGCGCGCGGAGAGCTGTGAGGGGACGGGGCGGCCTCAGAGGGGGGACAGGGCAGCGCCTGGGGGACTGGGGGTCCTCAGGGGAGTCCTGGTGCCCTCAGGGGGTCCTGGACACAGAATCCCAGAGTTATTAGGGGTGGAGGAGCCCCCCAGGGTCACCTGCTCCAAGCACCCCCCCCCCACTGTCCCCACTGAGCCGTGTCCCCAAGCACCAGCCCCAACCTCTCCTGGAGCCCCCCCAGGGACGGGGACTCCCCCACCTCCCTGGGCAACCCGTCCCAACGCCTGCCCGCTCTGTTTGAGCAGAAATGGCTCCTCATTGCCCACCTCAACCTCCCCTGGCACAGCTCCAGGCCGTTCCCTCGGGTTCCTCTCAGGGAGCTGCAATGAGCTCTGCCCTGACATGGCGGCGTCAGGGGGCACATGGCGTTAGCAGGATTAGGGCATCCTGAGGGCTGACGGGGCATCGTCAAGGCTGACATGGCACCCAGAGGGCTGACGGGGCGTCCTCAGGTGTGACACGGTGACACCCAGCCGTGGCAGGGCTGACAGGTGCTGCCCCCACCATCTTGCACCAACTGGGAACCCAACGCGTGCCCGGGTGCCACCAGCCCGTACCGGGACCACTCGAGGGACACACGGGGTCAGAGGCACCCATCTGGCCACCCGGCCTCACCCTTCCCATCTGCTCAATGGGAATAATCCCAACAGGGCGGATTTGGGATGCTGGCAGCCCACCAGCTCGCTTCCCATCCATCCGGCAGCATCGCAGCTCTTCCCCTTCTCCAATTCCAGCGAAAAACCCCAAAGCAGCTCCAGCCTATTAATAATGTTATTATTTGCATTAAATTTTGCAATTTTCTGGCTCTCCTGGCCGCCCCGCACCATCCCAGCCTTTACTTCACCGCTTCCTACGAACCGCGGGCGAACCAGAGCCTGAACTTTTCCCTTTTCTAGTAAAAGTGGAGGTTCCAGCTGGGGGCTCTTGACTAACAGCCTTTTTTTTTTTTTTTTCTTTTCTTTTTCCGCAGAAGTCACTGGCTGCAATGCTCCGCCGAGTTCCAGAGATAAGATAAATAATTTACTGGATGGAGGTTTCTGATTACTCACTCTGTTAGCATGTAGAGCAAAGAGCTCCGGCCACTGGGAGCTGCGCTGCTCCAGCCGGAGCCCATCTGGGCTCCTGCGCCCGAGCGGGACCGAGGAGTTCCCAGCATCCCACACATACTTGTGGGATGAATTGCCGAAATTCAATGGGTTTTACTGGAAATGCTGGTGAGCGCCGGGCTCTTTTTGGACTTCTTTTCAAATAAAAACACCCGGACGCCACCCAGCCCAACCCGAGGGCTGTGTGCGGGCGATGCTCACTGCCTCGCCGAGACGCGTTGGGCGATGCAGAGCATTCTCCTGCACATGTGGGACCCCCCCAGAGCCTGGTTCCTGCCCCGTAGGTGACATTCCTGCTTGGGGAAAGTGTGGAGAAACCCGTCGCAGCCTCTCTCCCTTCTGTTGTTTTTATTTTTTGTTGTTGTTGTTGTTATTGTTTTTTTGGGGTGATGCAAGCTCGGGGTGGAGCAGAGGGCGGGTGGCGCGTTTCTCCTGCCTCATTCCCACCCGAAAACCCGGGCAGGTTGGGGACGACTGGTTCTGCGAGTCAGCGCTCAGCCATGGGACCGAGTGACTCAGCATCTGCCCCAAACCCATTACCAGATTCCTTGCCCCGATGATGAAAGGTGCCACACGGGCTGCCCTGGAAACAGGCTCTGTATTTACAAACAGGGCTCACCCCGGGAGCAGCAGGGCTTTCCTGGGGGCTGCCTTCCTCTGACCTCCTCCGGGGAGGCTCAGCCTCTTCCTCGCCCTGCCCAAACTGCTCATTAGCGTCGAGGGGAGCAGCGTCTCTCTCGCAACCCAGATGCTTTGGGGCCAGATCATCGCCGTGCGTGAGCCTTGCCCAAGTGCCGATTTCCTGGGTGCTGAGCGCACCCCTTCCTGCGGGCACGGAGGGCTGGCACCCTGTCCCGGGGGCGTTGGGGAGGCATTTCCCCATGCGGGTCACGGCACGCTGCCCTATTTCCCAACTGCATCCATCTCCCCCCAGAATAACCCCCCCAAGCCACATCCCTGGTTCCCAGCAGACCCCAAGCAGGGCTGGGGCCGGTTGTTCCCCCAGAGCCTGGCCCGTGAGCTCACTTCTCCCTCCGCCAACCCCAGGCGACGCAATTGGGATGTGTCAGACATTCAGGTTAAGACGAAGCCAACCTCATCCTGCTTTGCCTTCCTCCGGAGGAATCACCTTTTCCCCCAAATCCTCTTCCGCTTACTGAAAGCCATTGGGTGCAGCGGAGCACCCCGCACCTCCTGGGGTGCATGGGTGCACGGCTGGCCCTATGCAGGTGACCCCAAGGGCCGGGCAGCAGCACCCCCAGCCCATGCTGGATCTTTCCACCCCTGGCTCAAACCCGAGGCTTGGCATGAGCCCTGGTGCAGCTCCAGGAGGAGGTTACGTGGGGCTGCAAGGATGAAAAAACCCGAGGGACCCATGCCCGGGGAAGAAGCAGGACCCCGGGGTGCATGTGGGGCTGGTGGCAGGGCTGGGGGAGAGCAGCTCCCAGCAGACATCAGAAGATCAGTTCTCAGCCTGCAAACAATCCCGGCAGCTTTCGGGCTCTTCAGCGGCATTCCAGTCTAACCAGGGCTGCCTTGCATGATAATCAGGCTTAATTACTGCTTTATCGCTTGATTGCTGTGCCGGGCCCTTGGAGCTGCAGCCTGGCTTTCTCAGTTTACTTTTTGTATTTCCTCCTCTCTCGCCTCCCGCCCTTCCCCGCCGGCACAATTAGCAAATAGGTGACGATGGGGAGGGCCAGGGCAGCGCCCAGGGTGAGAGAGGGGCAAATTCCCTGCTCTCGCTGGGGCCTGGGGGAAGCAGATCCGCACCTTTTAGGAGGTTTCCCCAAAAGCACGGACAAAAGAACGGGGTCAGAGGCAGGCGGCAGGGAGCACAACCCCATATCAGCCCCGTGAGCATCCCCCTGCGGAGGGGCCGGCCGGGGGCATCCCTGCAGGAGGGAGGGGAGGACGATTTGCGCCCTGACACAGAAAGGCTGCGGTTTCCCTCGCATGAGCTTTGAGTCACGGCGTGACCTTGGCTGCTGCGCCTGCCCGTGGCTCGCGGCCGCCGGGGCTCGGTTGCCCGCAGAACCGGCTGGCCCAGGGCGTGGGGCGAGCCCCAGCTCCCAGCGGCGTCGCCGCCTCGCCAGGCGTTGGGAAAGCCTGAAACCAACGCACACGGGGCCAGGAAAGGCGCTGGCACCCCGCAGTGAGCGATTCCGCCCCAAAAAGGGCGCGGGAGCTGTCCTCGGCCAGGCCTTTTGGGGCATCCCCCTGGTGTTTGGGGCATCCCCAGCCGGCTGTCACTTTCTTGAGGTCACCAAAACGTGCCCTGGTGTCTCAGCGGTGATGCTGGGAGTGCCATGAGATGTGTGCACGATCCCAGTGCCACTGTGGTGCGGGGACAGGCACTGCCCTGCAGGATGCTGCCGAGCCCGGGGCACGCGGGAGCACGGATACCCCAAAAAATTGTGGTCCATGGGACTGCCTGGGGGGCCACATCCCTCCCCACCCAACCTCTGCGTCCTGGGGTCCCCCACACCTATTGGGACCCCAAAACAGCGGTGACAGCTTGGGACACGCAGATCCCATCCCGGGCTAAACCAGCACCTTTGGGTGCCGCTCCCCAGCAGCCGGGCTGGGAGGAGGAGAGGACGCTGGGAATTTGGCCTTTTCGTCCCTTTTTGAGTTTTTCCCCTTGTCGCTGCAGGCTTTTAGCGCGGGCTTTTTGGGAGAGGTGTGCGTGGAGCCGGCAGCATGGCTAATCTGCTTTGTGAATGGAGCCGCGCGGGGGGCGGCGGAGGGGATGGGGAGGTGGAGAGAGCCACATTTTTGGGATTCCTTCAGCTGGGTGGGCTCCTTCTCCCCAGACTCTCAGGATGTGGGAAATGGAAGATGAAAGGCGCTGCATTTCCAGCCTCTCGGGTTACAATGTCTAAAGCAGAAAAAGGGTGGCTGGGAGGTGGTGGTGGTGGGGAGAGGGGGGGGGGGGGGATGCTACAGGGAAACCTGGGTTGGGAAATGGCCCCGGCGAGATTTGGGGCAGGGAAGGGGGCGGCTGGGGCCGAGCCGCTCGTGTTTCACATCACGTCAGGCCTGAGGAATTTCCTCTGCTCTGGGGGTGCCTCGCAGAGAAAGGGGGAGGCTTTAAGGTTAGCCGGGGATGAATAATAGCCGAGAGGCGACGGATTAAAAGTGTTACCCGGGGACTGCTGTTTACAAGCAAAACCCTCTCGCCGAGCGGAGCGGAGGGGAGCGAGGGGCTCGTCGGGGCGGCACGGGGCACGGAGCCACGTGCTGAGGGGGTCCTGGGGCCGTGGCCCCTCCAGGAGGGGAAAATCCTCCTGCCACCCACTGGGTGCCCTGGGATGGGGCCAGGAGAGGGGCAGGAGCTGGGAAGCAGCACCAAGGTTTTGGGTGCTTTTTTTGTGCCGTGCCGGGGCACGGAGCAGCCCCAGGACCTCCCGGGGTCACCCCACAGCCCCGCAGGGCAATGCCCCGGGTCCTGTCCCCATTCCCTTCGCTTTCATTTCCCTTTTATTCCTATTTCGGGTGGTGCAAGGTCAAGGTGGAACGGAGGGGAAGGAAATGGATCCTCCTGCTGCTGGCCCCTGGTAGCCTCTGCCTCGG